AATGCACCGTTGGTCTGTCAAATTTGAAATTATGACGTTTACAGTAAGTCAACTGTTATATGTTTTAAATGCACCATTCGTCTGTCAAATTTGAAATTATGACGTTTACATAAGTCAACTGTCATATGTTTTAAATGCACCGTTCGTGTGTCAAATTTGATATTATTACGTTTACAATAAGTCAACTGTCATATGTTTTAAATTCATCGTTGGTCTGTCAAATTTGAAATTATGACGTTTACCATAAGTCAACTGTCATATGTTTTAAATTCACCGTTGGTCTGTCAAATTTGAAATTATGACGTTTACAATAAGTCAACTGTCATATTTATGAACTGCACAAATATGAGAGTCTTTTTATAAGCTTTAAAATTGTGGCATGAAATAAAAAGCTTGAAAATAACTAAAAATTGTGTAACTTTTTTTCATACATTTTATTGTTAAATAAGAAGGAATATTCCATTGCGTATCTTTTGATATAAGAATTGTTAAGTAATATTAATTAATGACAGATAAATGTAGCAAAATCTGTAGAATTTTCAAGCGAAGAAACTTCGATGTGTATCTGTAAATTTTCATTGTGCATTTGATATCATCCGTTATATCGTCGTTTCGTAGAGCGTCGCATCGAATTCCGCATTCTTTACTTGCAAAAACCGCAAAAAAATAATGCAATGTTATTGGATTACAGAAAAGATTTTGGCTAAAATTATCTAATTTTACTATAAATAATCTATAACGAATTTCAAAAAAAAACGAACGTTTTTATACTATATTTTACATTGTTTACTATCAAAGTTCATGCATGAATGTAAAACAAACGCAAACTTTACAGCAAAACAAAAGTTATAAACACGTTCGTATAAAGATATTAGCAGAAACACCAAAGCAAATTATAGTTTCCATTGGAAACAAAATGTTTCTTTTTTTGTTTTTCATTTTATTCAAATCCAAAGAAAACTTGAGAATTAACAACAATTTTAAGTAAGACAATTTTAATTTCATTGATTTCAATCATTTCAATTAATTAAATTTAATTAGACAAATATTAATAGATGAACTTTTATACTATATTTTTGATCTTTTCACCCAAATATTAAAATTAATTCAAAATTTTGTAAAGAACAAAAAAAAATTGTTGTTGAAATATTGATAAAAATACGTTAAATTCAATAATTAACATAATATTATAATATATAATATTATACAGATAATGAAATATATACAGGGTGATTAATATAAATAAAATATTCATGTCCGAATCACTTAATTGAATCAGCTGTTTACTGTCATATTTATCAGAAACGTCAAAATAATGAAAGCTTCATTTGGGGTTTTCGATTCTAACTCATTTACACTAACTGGAGGTTATTTCTGTGGGTTATGAAACATCCTGTAGATGCATGCGTTTCGAGTTTTTATTTAAATTGTAATTGAGTGAAGTGAAACAAGTTGATTTTCGAAATGAGGCCATCATCGGCTCTGGTTGTCCTGTTGGTAGCAGTGTCATTGGAAGGAAAAGTTATTGGTGTAAATGAGTTGAGGTTGGCTCTGATGGATTTCGTGGTGCCTGAATGGATGATACCTATCTTCATATGCATAGCACAACATGAGTCAAAGTTCAATACATCTTTCGAAAGTCTTGATGGAAGAAAACATGGGATTTTTGGTATACAAAATCGACTTTGGTGTTCTCCTCCAGGTATTGAAAATATTATCTTTTTGTATCTGTTTTCTATACTATCTTTTTTCTGTTAGGTATTGGATGTGGTATAACTTGTGATTCTTTGAGGAACGAAGATCTTGGAAATGATGTTCGATGCGCTTTGCAAGTGTTTCTTGAGACTGACAGGTTCTTGGGACAAGGATGGAAAGCTTGGGACACCTACAAATTTTGTCATCTATAACACTCAAAAAATACATAAATTTGTATATAAACAAAGAAAATATATGTTTACAAAACACAATGATATCAATAACATTTCTTGTTAATCTACATTCAAAATAATTTAAAAAAATTATATAACAATTTGCCAATTATTCATTGAAAAATTTCTGCTTAATTGTAGAAAAATTATAGTTGCTTCATTAAAATTTGTGAGAAAATAACTTTACCTTTATTATGTTTCATTATTTGTTAGTTTTTAAGATGATTTCTTTATATTTTTCATTTTATGTAATATATGCAACCAAATCATCATCAATCTTTATAATTTGAGTTTGAAAATTTATTTAAAGAGATTGGCGAATGCTACAAATCTCCAAGTAGGCTTGTTGCAAAGCTCAAAGTTTTGTCTATAATTTAAATTTTAGATAATGTAATTGGCTCACGTATTTATTGAGTAATTAAATGAAACGTGAAGACCTGCAAAATCGTCTTTTATATGTGATTTTTTAACCTTAACTAATATTTTATTATGTTCATTGAAATGCTTCATAGATATTAGAAAACCCCGTTCTTACATAATCTTAAAATTTGTAAAAAGCTTTAGAAATTTCATTTGAAAAATGAAAAAAAAGAAGAATCAATAAATCTCAAAATATTCTATTTTATATTAAATTTGTTATTGTTATTGCTATTAATCAAATATAATTAATTATAAAATAAATGTCATAAAATAAATCTAGTCTGTGTGTATTAAGTGAAAACAAAAGAAAGAAAATAGAACGGAAAGCTTCTTAGATCTTCGAAAAGAAAAAAATGTTAATGGGATTCTTCGAAAGTTTGATAAAAATTGTCCAGTCTTTTCGTCGTCATCCCGTCGGACCCCCAAGTCAACTAAATAAAAGAAAGAAAAGTGAAAAGAATGAAAGAAAAGGACTGTTCGGAATCGGGAATCCTGAATTTGGCGCAGATAGATCAACGTCACCGGTTGTCGATAAGATTGCAGCATTCGAGACGGTTTTCTACCTGAATTTATGGACCTCATCTGTGTATTTAGACTCGGAAGTCCTTTTCAACAGACGTCATTAAACGGATAGAATCTATCTCTTTCTTTCTTTCGAATTATTTCATTCTTTCTCTTAGTTTTAGTTCTATTTTTCTGTGTTTCTTTACCGGCGTCATAACCGTGATTCGTCATAAGCGCAACGAGAAAAGAAGACTAAAACAAAGTGGTCACAGAAAGAAGCAAAGTTAAGTGATTTCGAATATCTTTATATATATAATATATGCGTTGCGATAGGAAAGGCGAATGGATTTTTCTGTTTTATTTGATTTGATAATATTATCGGGTATTCCTTTTTGGGGTCCATTACCGTTAATTGCGGTATTCACCTTCCTTTTTTTTATATTTTTTTGAAGATGGAATTAGTCTGGAGTCGAGACTCTTTTATTCTCTTATCTTCTGCTTCGAAAGTGCACTCAGAGAAAGGGCAGGTTGGTACAAATATTTTCTAATTTACCAAGAATTTCTATTATACTTTTCTTTTTGTCATTTACCTGTTTCATGACTTTTTCACTTGTAGAAATTACTTTGAAAGCAAAGAAAATGTTATGGGTTCAACAAGTGTTGTCAAGAAAAGTCAAAATTTTGGATATGTTGCAACTTTGATAGAAAGTTGCATTTTACTACTCAATTTTATTAATTATTTATGCTTGAAGAATATGGGACAAATTTTAAAAATTATTTTTAAAATAAATAAAGCTGGAAAATATTTGTCAAGAAAATTACAAATTTTGTTTGACATTTTGCAAACTTTGGTGGAATGAAAATAATATCATTTTTTTTATTTTATTAACTGTAATTCAATAAATTTTACTCATTTTAAGTGAAAGTGTGGAAATTTAGATTTAGAGTGGAAAATAAAATAGAATACTTTTAGGAATAACTTTAACAAAAGAGAAAAGTCAAGAGTTTCTTTTTACGACCAAAATTTTCAGTTTACAATTTATTTTAACCTTAAATATATAATAGCATTACAGAAACACTGAATTTATATTTATATTACATAAAGATATGATAACAAATGCAAGAGTTTCATTTTACGACTTAAAATAACAGTATTCTTTATAGTCAATGTATTTTAACCTCAAATATATAATGACATTACATGTTGATTGATTTTGTTTTTCGTGATGGAATGATACTTTCAAGCATTATACGTCTTAATTTGACAGTTTTAGCATTTTTCTAACCTTTTATATATAAAAGCATTACAGAAACACATAAACTTTTGTTTTGTATTTCATGATAGAACGATAGGTAAGTGAAAAGTTTCATTTTACGACCTAAATTTACAGTTTACAGAATTATACATTTATTTTTACCTTTAAATAAATAACATTACAGAAACACTACAGAAAATTATTTATATTATGTAACGAAATGATAAGGTCAAATATTTTATTTTACGACTTAATTTGACAGTTTAATCATTTTTCTAACCTTTAATATAGAACAGAATTACAGAATCACTTAAAATTTGTAATAAGTTTGACAGTTTAATTTGAAACATGCAAAAAATATATAACTAACAGAAAACATTGATTGTGTTTTTCATGATGTAATGATAGCAAAGTGAAAAGTTTCATTTTATTACCTAATTTTAGAGTTTACAGAATAATCAATGTATTACGGATAAAATTATTGTAGTATGTAATGAAATGATAAATTTAATTATTTCATTTTATGGCTTAATTTGACAGTTTACCACATAATCAAATTATTTATTAACATTACAGAAACACTGCAAAAGAAAAATGTATTTTATGTAATTGATTCATAACAAAGCCAAATGTTTAATTTTACATATTCTTTTGTTTTTCATGATAAATTGATATCAAAATGAAAAGTTTTATTTTACGACCCATTTTCAAGGAAATTACTCATAGTAAAAGCAAAACCAAAACAAGGAAATTCAAATTGATCATAGTTGTTTGTTGTTTTTAAAAAATTAACAAGATTCCCACAGGGTAATGTTCTGCGTCTGTTATCCTCAATGAATCGAAAAAAACACATATTTTTCTTGAAAAAAATATACTGAATAATAATTAAAACATTTTTTTTGTATTTTCTAAAATGTTTTTATACTATAAATTGTCTTAAAGAGCGATTTATGCATTTAATTAATTGAATAAACTGGATCAATTCATGTAAGCTTTCTCGTTAAGTCTACATTTCTTTTTACTCTTTGATTGCCCTTCGACAATTAAGCCA